TTGTGGCACATAATGAAAAAGATACCCGAGAAGCTAGGTGGGTATGATGAATATGATCGCATCAAGGTTGCTGTTGGCAATGCGGTCTATGATTCATTAACAGTTGCAGAGTTTGAAGTTGCTTGGATGCATATGATTGAGAAGTATGATCTTGGTGATAATGAATGGCTTAAAGGGCTTTACAACTATCGACACCGTTGGGTTCCAGCATTTGTGAAAGATGCCTTTTGGGCAGGTATGTCTACTACACAACGTAGTGAGAGTATGAATGCCTTCTTTGATGGATATGTTAATGCAAAAACTCAATTGAAGCATTTTGTTAGCCAATATGAGAATGCTCTTCGTGATAAAGTTGAGAAGGAGAATGTTGCTGATTTCAATTCTTTCAATTCAACCATACCTTGTATCACACGCTTTGACATTGAGAAGCAATTTCAGTCAATCTATACAAATTCAAAGTTCAAAGAATTTCAAGAAGAGCTAACAGATATTATGTATTGTGATCGGAAGTTTATACAAAAAGAAGGGGCAATAGAAACATATGAAATAACCGAGGATGTGCTAATTGACGAAGAAAAAGGATGGAGAAAGGATATTCTGTACCATGTATATTTCAATGAGGAAGAGTTCGAAGTTAAGTGTTCATGTCGCCGCTTTGAGTTCAGAGGTATTCTCTGTAGGCATGTGTTGTGTGTGCTTACTCAAAAGAAAATCAAGGAGGTTCCTCCACAATACATCCTTGCTCGGTGGAAAAAAAATGTGAAAAGAAAACATAACTTTATCAGATGCACATACGGGGGGATGGAAGACAGTCCTATTGCCAAACGCTTTGATAGCTTGTGCAATTCTTTCTACCCAGTTGCAGAGATAGGTGCCATGTCGGATGATGCACACAATTCCTTGATCGAAGATCTTCGCACCTTGAAAATTAAGTACAGCAGCAACTCAAGTTCTGAAAATAACAATGATAAGGTTGGTACACAGGAAGATTCACCTTCCAATGGGAAGGCAACAGGTAAAACTATACTGAGTCCAATAGCTGTTAGATGTGCTGGACGCCCTCCTTCGGTGAGAAAAGAATCTAAGGTTGATAAGCTTATTCGCCAAGCAAACGAAAAGAAGAAGAAAAAAGAACAAATGGAGAAGAAAAAGGCTGCAATAAAGGAGAAGAAGGAAGCTGAAAAAGAGGTATCATTTTGAATATTACATTTTTCAGTTGTGAAAAAGAAGACCTAAATTCACACTTGTGAGCTCAGTAAAATTGTATTTGTTTCAGGCTCGCTCCTTGAATATGAAAAATAAAAGGTCCAGCAAAAAAAGAAAAACCTCAGAGGATGATATTCTACAACAAAATGCTATAGAACATATGGTATCTAATTCTTGCTCCCGGCTGTTTAGCAATATTTTTTCATGTATTTTACTGACTTCTTGCAATCTAAAACAGAGTCAACAAGATGTTTATTTGGATGGCCAGGCTTGTAGTATCACAGCTCAGGTATCTTTATTTCTCATCCTTTTATTTCTAGTAAACACTTGAGCAGCAATGTCATTTTATCACCTTCTTTGGACAGGAATCATTTGACTTGGGCATTAACGCTGGCAACATAAATGTACCCCAAGAATCGACTACGGTATCATTTGGAGGTTTATCGACAATGGTTATGCCTCCAATCCTAGGAGAATATACAAGTATGTTGTTTCAAGTTCAGCAAGGATCGACTGTAGTGCCCAGTTCTGCTGAGTTGCACTTTGATGGAATTGGAGGGCGGAACAATACGGTGGATCAGAGTTAGACAAGATTTATGTCATTTCAAGTGGTTGGATGCAGTACTTTCTATGCACTTGGCAACTTTAATGTAATAGCTGAAAGACACCCGGGCACCAAATTTATATTTTGTCATCAGGATTTTTCCCTAAAGTACCAGATTTGCTTTATGAGATTGTTATACTTTTGCAATTTTCCTTAGATATGTGTACGTGCGCATTGCCGCTAGCTAATTCTCATGAATGAGAGTTTTCTGTCTCACACATTTGCAATAGAACAAGGATGTTTCCATCAGGACAGATTTCTTATTCATAATTCTAGTTGGAACATTATGATCACAACTTATACGTCACACAGGATTTACCATCCATCAATTTTTCAAGAAACAAACAACCTTGTATATTGATCTAATTCATAAGGTCTGATTTTACAACCACACAAAATCATATAATGAAAAGTACACGTTACAATCAACACCAACTACGCGAGCAATTCTGTATGGAACTTGCACACTCCAGTCATCTTCTCCACATACACACGCATAATCTGCAATCATATGTGGTCTGATTTTGGTCTCTTTTGATTCGGTGAAACAACACTAAATGTTTCACCGAATTGATTGCATAGAGAATACCACTGCTGCTAGAGTGTCTATTCCTCTCCCTGCAAAACATAACAAAATTCAGTCCTTGCACAAAATTCAGAGCTTCCCCTAAATTCAGATTAGCAGGAAGCAAAACTGAAGCAAAATTCAGAGCTACCAGTTTGGCACTTTAGCTCGTCCATCTGGTCCAGCTGCGGGGGGGATGAGAACGTCGACGCTGCCCTGCATGCTCAGGAGCAGGTCGATCAGCATCGTCAGCCGCCGTACGACTAGCATGTACGCCGCCCAGGGCTCCACGGGGCTCGCCCACGGCGCTTCCAGCGTCTATACGACGAGGCCGCCTCGCCTCTCTGAAGGAGCCGGCCGTCACGCTGCCGACGAGCAGGGGATCGCCTGGTCGCCCTGGAGGAACCGGTCCTGACACTGCCGACAAGCAGGGGATCGCCTCGACGCATCGGAGGAGGCAGCCATGGGGCATCCAACGAGGAGGAAGTCGCCTCGCCGCCTGAAGGTAGCACATCCTGACGCGTCGAAAGAGATCGCATCCACACAGCCATGAGGGGAACTGGAGCAGATAGCTTGGCCGATCTGGGCGAGCCGGTCGTCGCTTGGGAGAGAAAGGAAACCGCCGGGATTTTTATTTTTTATTTCATCTTTTCCTTTTCAGTTCAGCGCGCGCTCGCACCCTCGCAGCCACGTCGGACGGACTCCTAGTCAGCCTGTAAAACGCCCGTAATCTCCTGTACGTGTAGCATTATTGGCGCTCGACCGCCTGGCGTCTCAGGGAGATAGAAGCAGGGGCGTCAGATCCGGGCGCTAATCAGGCAGTAGCTGGTGTGAGAGGCGACGCGGCGGCGAGCATCCGGAGCGGCGAGCCACGGCGACGGCGGCTGGATCAAACTAAGAGAATCGACGACGGCGCTCTGCCACGCAGGTATTCAACACACTTCCCCCAAATCGAGCTGAAATGCTACAGTAGGTCTCAATACAAAATCAGGGGTACGCGTGCGGGGGCTCGATGAACGGCGCTCGTGAGGCAAAGGGGAGTCAATGGCGCTGTGATTTTGGGTAAGAGGGGCTCGTCAGGGCGGATTTCCTTGTTTCAGTGCAGCAAATCCACATTGAAAGCAAATCCAATCTGAGATGGGTGTGATCTGGGGCTTCACAGCAGCGAATGTTGTTTTTCAGACTGGGAGTGGTGCTTCATTGCAGCACAGACTGGGATGTGCTTCTCTTTCTTTTCTTTTCTTTTGCTTTTTCTAGGCATGGGCTTGATTTTACCCAACTGCGAGTGATGTTTCATTCCAGTACAGACTGCTGTTGTTTTCTTTTCTTTTCTAGGCATGGGCTTGATTTTACCCAACCGTGTTGTTTCATTGCAGTACAGACTACTGGTGTTTTCTTCTTTCTTTTGTCAAAATGAGGCTTCTGATTACATGCATGGTATGCTGTATATTACATGATAATGTGTCATTAGTAACTTTGTTTCACTAGCAGGGTTATCTTTTGTGTAATGCTTCATTAGTGCTGGATAATGTAATACTCGTGTGATTGTGCCTATCATAGTTCTTGAATCTTGATTGATTGCTTCGTCAGCCTAACAGAGCTGCATCTCTTCTTCATTGCTAATTAATCATGTTGGTCATTAGTCGCCTTCGTGCGTGCTGTCTGAACTCCGAAGTACCGTGATATCTCTGACAGACAAACACAATATTCATGCTCTGGCGGATAATGTCTGTACAATATTCACCAGTTGAGTAGCATAGTTGTAGTTTACTTCAGCCTTCATTTGACTCCTGCTGCATCCTTTCCTACTGCAGTAGTAGTTCTACGTGTAGATGCCTGCTAGTAGCCTTTGTATTCTAGGATAGTTGTAGACTTGTAGTTTACTTTCTCAGTAGTAGCTGCGTGCTTTTGTTATCAGTGGCTAATGGATTACATGCATGTAGTGGGGTTTTATATCTACGGTGCTGTGTTTTTTTGTTTTATATTGGTAGTATGAAAATGTAGCGGCAGTGGTTTTTTATCTAGCAAATACGTGTTTCAGCAAGTAGTCGCCATTGCAGAGATAGTGTGGTTCTTATTCGGTTTTGGTGTACTACTGTTGTTGCATAGGTTTTAGAAGTACCACATTTTCATTTTTGTTGTGGTTTTCGTTTTCTCCTCGCAGAGCCTCAACAATGGATAATGCAAAGTCTATTGATGGACCATTCTCAACACGGGTTTCAACAAGCCGCTTGGGTACAGTTGCTAAGAAAAATCTGGACGATAATAAGAGGGCAATCTTAATTGGTTGCTGCTCCAAGAGCGGACCAGCAGCTGCTGCGACAGCCTGAGGCCTGCTGCTAAGCCAGGGGTGTGTCGGATGGGCTGCCGTTGTGACGGGGGACCGATGATCCTGCTAGGGGCTGCCGACCGGCTGCTGCGAACCGCCAGGGGATGCTGCGACTGGTGCGCGAATGGGACACGTGGTGGTCGAGCTTATTGCTGGTTCCTATGACGCTCAGTAGTAAGCGAGGTGGGCGAGACTTGAAGCATCACCGGGCCGCTGGAACATCACTGTTGCTGCAATGGAGCATTCACTGGGCCACCGGAACATTGTCGGGTCGTCGGAGCATCACTGGTGCTGTGATGGAGCATCGTCGGGCCGTTGGAAAATCGGCGGTGCTGCAACAGAGCATCTTCGGCCATCGGAGCATTGCCGGTGCTGCGGTGGAGCATCGCCGAGCCGCCGAAGGATCGCTTTGCTGGTGCTGCGATGGAGCATTGTCGAGCCGTCGGAGGATCATCGGAGCATTGCTGGTGCTACGATGGACCATCGCTGAGCCACGGGAGGACCGTCGGAGCATCGCCGACGCTGTGATGGAGCATCGCCGAGCCGCCGGAGGATCGTCGGAGCATCGCCGGCGCTGTGAAGATGGAGCATCGCCGAGCCGCCGGAGGATCGTCGGAGCATCACCGCTGCTGCGATGGAGCATCGACGAGCCGCCGGAGGATCGTCAGAGCATTGTCGGTGCTGCGATGGAGCATCGCCGAGCTGCCGGAGGATCGTCGGAGCATTGCCGAAACGCTGGAGGATCGTCGGTGCTACAGTGGAGCATCGCCTGGCCGTCGGAGCATCGCGGAAGCATCGCTGGCGCTGCAATGACACATCGTCGGACCGCCGGAGCTGCAGAGCATGGTCGGTGGAGCAATGAAGCATGGCCGATGCTTCAAGGAATTACACGCGCGGCACCGGGGAAGCAGTAGCATGGAGCTTGTACAGGCTACAACTGATGCTCTATTGGTGGCTGGAGGCATCGCGCGGAGACGCGGCAGTGATGCTGGTGAAAGTTGGGATGGAAGTGATGGCGTGGTTCTATCAGGGAATCAAGCGACCCAATTCAGATTTATTGACGCAAATCAACGGCTGGCCAGGCGGCTTATCTTTTTCTAAGATCAGCCGGTTGACGCCTAGCAGCCGCCGTATGGTATTGACCCGGTCTAGGAAGGGACGTCTAATGGGAGCTCCCAGTGCAAGGGGCGCGGGTACTATGTCTCGATCATTGCGTGACGCTACTGGGCAGGCTTAGTACCATAGCTGTTGTGTTAGTTTTTTTTTCCCTTTGTGGTTTTCTTATCAGTTTTTCACTGTTTGCATCAGTTTTCTCTAGGTTCTATCCAGTTTTCCTTTGGTTTTCCTTTTTAATCTTTATTTTTCAATTTATTGAATTTGTTTTATTTGTTCAGTTTTCTCCAGTTTTATTCATTTTTTCAACACATGTCTACATTTTTCATACACATTGTAAATTTTTCGTATAGATCAGGAATATTTTCTTGTACATGTTTAGCATTTGCTAAATACAATATTAATATATATTTTAAATATATGCTTTGATGTCTATTATTTCATACATATTGTACAACCTTCATATATATCAGGATCTTTTTGATGCACTTTCAATATTTTTTAGATACATGATTAACATTTTTTCAAATATATGTTTTGATGTCTATTATTCCTCATACACATTGTACATTTTTTATATCCATCTGTTACACTATTTTATACACGTTTAAATTCTTCTAATACATGGTTAAGAGTTTTACAAATCCATTATCTTCTTTAACATTTTCTTGATTAGGTGTTAAACATTCTCTAAATACACATTAACACATTTTAATGATACAAAACGTTTTTCTACTATGCTAACATTTTTTTTAATGTTACGAAAATATTTGGATCACGTGCACATTTTTTGGAATGGTAATAAACTTTGTTGTAAATACAAGAATTTTCTTTTACATTGTATACTTTTTTTAATGTTGCTCACGGTTTTTTAGACCTAGTGCGCATTAGTAAGTGCCACAATTTTTTTGGATTGCTACCAACATTTTTATTAAATTACACAAAAAAGTATTTACCTGTGTTAATATTTTTCTTATCTATGGTGAACATTTACAAAACAATTAGGTAAATTAACTATTTTTTATATAATATATGTATATAGAGTGTCCCAAAATATAGATGAAAGTATAAAATAAAGCAAAAGAATGAACAGTACTGACAAACAAACGTTATTGGGTCAGCCTATTTAGTGTGCTCCCTAAGGCGACGTGTACCTCTGTCTCGCCATATGTAGATCACAACATAGGAGAAATTGCGGAACATAGGATTTGAACCCACGCGCTAGCGTATCGTAATCGACCGAAGGAACGACAGAACAACCACTACGCCAGGACACAATCGAAAGTCAAACCTATTTAATACTTCTTTTATTACAATACATAAATTCTGGACACATATAAATCATTTAAAAAAACATAAGTTTGAAAAATAAAATCATAGATTTGTAATAAAAAAGTTTACCAGTACGGATAAAAGTTCAGTTTTTTTAAAAGGTCATGGAATTCGGAAAAGGTTCATCAACATAGAAAACAAGTTCACAATATAGAAAAAAAAGTTCACAAAATGTGAAAGAAGTTCATCGATTTTGGAAAAAAAACTAATCAAATTTGAAAGAAAAGTTCATCAAATGCGAAAAAAGTTCATCGAATTTGAGAAAAAGTTCATCAAATTTGAAAAAGTTCATCGAATTGGAAATAAGATCATCAAAATTGAAAAAAGTTTAGTGATTTAAAAAAAATCACAGAATTTATAAATAAGTTCATAGATTTTCAACAAAGATCACCAATTTTTTTTAAAAGTTCATTGATTTGGAAAAAGTTCAAAGTTTTGAAAATAAGTTCATCGATTTAAATAAAGTTCATCGAATTTCAAATAAAATTATATAATTAAAAGAAAAGTTCACGTATTTGCAAACAAAATCAACAAACCAGGATGAAAAAAGAAAGGAAAAACTGAAAACGAAAAATAAAAAAAGAAAAAAGAAAAAAGAAAAAGAAAAAAAGAAAAAGGTAAGTGAAAGAATAAAAGAAGAAGAAAACTCACTATTCCCAGATCCTGCAGAGTGACGTTTACATCAGCATATCTCTAGGTGGGGAGGTCCCGGTTCGAATCATTTCTAACTCGTCGCTTTGTTTTTCGCGTTTTGCGGTTCTAAACAAAGGAAAAAAAAACTGGATGTGCCGGCCCAGCTGACGCGCCTGCAGGTGCCGGTTTACAGGAAGAATAGTAACCGGCGCCTGCAGCAGCAAATAGGGTTTGCCGCGTCAGTCTCGGCTGACACGCATGTATATGGGCCAGCCCATTAGTGCAGATCGCTGGCTGGCTGCTGCTCGGTCAATTTATTGGTATGGTTCGTCTTCTTTATTTATATTTTCTTATTAAAAAGGGTTTTGCTTCTTTATCGTTTATATCCGGTTTTTGTTTTTTTATCGGTTTTCTTCATTTCTTTCACAATTTTACCTGTTTTTTCATCTATTTTCTTTCTTTGTTTCTTCTCGGGTTTTCAATGTTTCTTTTTCTTTCTTTCTTACTTCGTTTTTCTTCTCTTTTCTTGGTTTCATTCACCTATCTTTGCTCCCATCTCGGTTTCACTGTTTCCATACTTTTGCAATGGTTTCTTTGATTTTCAGTCGCCTTTTTTGTTTACCTTTTTTGGTTTTTATTGGTTTCCTTCATTTTCCTTTGTTTGTTTAAAGATATTCGTATGTTTATTTATTGTTTAAATTATGTCTAGTTTTTCAGTACAACATACATTTTTTAGTGTACATATGATATATTTTCTCATGTTAAACATTTTTTAAAAACCCAATGTACACTTTTGGTCAACATTTTGTTAGATACATATTGAACATATTTTTATGGTAACAAACATTTTTTTAAACTATGCTAAAATTATTTTAAAATTGTATATTTTTTTAGTGTTTTTAATAGACAATATACATTTTTAGTGTACAAGTGAAACATTTTTTCATACATGTTGAACATTTTTCAAACCCACATTTTATATGTTTATATTTTCAATACATGTTTTGAACACCTTTTTTAATAGATGATCAACAGGTTGAACAGTTTTAATCGTAATAAACATTTTTGCGAACTGCAGGAACATTTGTTTTAGATGGTATAAACAATTTTTAAATATTTTCAGTACACAGAATTCATTTTAGTGCACACGTGAAACAGTTTTTTGATACATGCTGAAAATTTGTCAAATACACAATGTACAATTTTCTTTCAATACATGTTTCAATTTTTTTTGGAATATTGCTTAACATTTTTTGAAATACACATAGAATATAGTAAACAACACTGTTTTTAAACTACACGAACATTTTTTCTACATTGTACAAACTTCCTATAAATGTCAGGAAACTTGTTTTGAATGCGATAATATTTACTTAAAACGTCATGTACACATAATTGTACAAAACATGTCTTTTATATTACGCAAATATGTTTTTCCCATTGTATACACCTTCTCAAAATCTCCACATGCAGGTTTTGGAACGTAGGAACATTTTCATTGTCACAAACCTTATTTGTTGTATTTTTCTCGCTATCCCTTGACGTTATCATTTATGAAAGAGAGGGCAATTCGCCACCAAAAAAAAGGAAAGATAGGGCAGTTAGATTCATCGTTCAAGAGAGCAGACATGATAGAAGTGGTTCATTCATCAGTGCATACTTTTAGAACCTGGGGTTCTCACCTGATTTAGCAAAGAAAAGTAAAAAAAAGTCAAATGTTTATAAAACCTTTTTCAACAAACATCATCTAGTGTATTACTCATTTATAAGGTTTCACGGCAGAATGACTTTTGTGGACTTGTTAACAAAAAAAATCAACCCTGAAAAATGTCAATAATAACTTTTACATAGTATTGATTTTGTTTTTATTCACCCACAATACCACAGAAGTCATTAAAACAATACACATGAGTAATATAGTAGACAATGTTTCTTTCATAAATATTCGATTTTTGTACTACTTGTTTATAAAAAAATATTGCATTTCAGGTACATATGCATCCTTTTTCATATGGTATTTTCGTTCACTCATATTATTTGACTACGGTAGAATGCAAGGAGCACAGACGAGAGATTGGGGTGGCCCGAGATTTGTGTCTGCGTGCGTGTGTGTGTGCGCGCGCGCGTGCGTGTGTGTGCATGTGTGCGTGTGTGAAATCTGGATAATGAATTACCGGACAGTAAATCTAAAGAATTAAGTCATATTTTTTTCTAATTGTGTGCACATTTTTTTTGTCTCAAGCATCACACCGGTGAAACGTGATATGACACCTCCATTACCCCTTTTTGTTTTTGCTTTTAATGCAATCTGAAAAGTATGTATAATAGCTTGCTTAGAACAGGCACAAGTTGGAGCGTGGCCATACGCGTGCAACTTCATATGACGCGCCCATGCGCAATTACAAGCATAGTAACGTGTGTGCAACTGGAAGCACAACAACGTTTTGTATGATCTGCTTTAGGCCTTTGATGACGCTTAGAGAGTGCTAGGGGAAATCCCTTGGAACACCCGCAATTTCAGTTGGCTTCCATGTGAAGATGTCCTATTCTCACGAATTAACTCGACAAGCTGTTTTCCTATTGCGATGGAAAGTCGGACTTGATCTGGATCATTTTGGACAAGTCTTCAAGGCGGACCTAGACCTTCTTGTGGTGCCATTGGCCGACTTGAAAGAAGAATCGGTAGCTGCCCTCTTGCTCGGTGGAGATTTCTCAACATCAACCGACTTCTCGAT